GGGGGGTTAGTTTCTCACAATGGATCGCCAATTGGGAATTGAGCCCCCGATAACAAGGCGGGTTCTCTGTTCGCTGGGCCTTTGTATACGTCGTAGATTCCGAGATGGTCTGCTAGGAATAGGCCGTGGAATTTCCCCTTCTCGAGCACCTTTGCTAGCTCGATCCAGTAGGAGAGGTCGGTGAAGTCACCGGCGCGATCCTGCGGGTGCTTCCAGAGCCCTAGATTGGGAGAATCGGTCACCGCGCAACAAAGTGATTTGCCGTAGCATGAATGCAGGGTAAATCGGTAGGAGACAGAGGCGAGAAAAAGACTTACCAGGGGACAGATGCCCGGGGGAAAACATAGCGAAGGCATTGAGAATCCATGGCTTCTTTTCCGAGGTCTTGGTCATCTTGTCTGTAGGTTTGGGGGTAAGAAGTAGAAACAAAAAAAGGGGGGGATCGTAAAGAACGTATTTCCAGCATCCATACTAGTTCCATTTATACGAATTCAATGAATACCGGACTGCTTTCGGCTGTATGTCGTTAGAGTGGATGGTGATTGTGTTATTGAGCTGCGGGCTCACGCCATCGGCAGCCCCTCAGCTTCGGAAAGATTTCAGCGATGTCGCTACCAGGTACCCCGCATCGCGAGGATGGTTAACTGAACCTAGTGAGTTATCAGAGTCTTCTCGTAGAGGAATATTAATATTTCTTCTCGATCGATAGGGTAATATATTCCAACCACACTCGTTGAAATGCATGAATAATCCTAGTCGGGAATTTAGGTAGCACGCGCTGAGTCAGGCTGGATCCGATCATATCGACTATCTCGCGATACTCTTCCATGGCTGAAAAGATATAGAGAATGGTTAACGAGGCCCAAAAAGCGAAAAAGGTCAGGACAACCCACAAGAGTTCTCGAGGGCAAGTTTCATGCAAGTTAAAATGCGCTTTTTGCTGGCCGGCTGGTTGGCGCTTCAAGCCACTGCTCTAGCGTGTAGACGTTTATCTCACTTTGCCTGCCATTGTCCGGGTAGGTGATACATTTCGCCAAGATCCTGTGGCTTTTCTTCTGTGTCCCTTCCTTGACCGATGAGAAAATAGCGCTCAAGACAAGGAATGCCATTACTCAGTGTTTGTACACTGTGAACTCAAGGACCAAGAACATGATATACGCAGCCAAAAACACCAGACCAGCAGTCCGACTCGGTCCGAGGAAAACAACCGCTACAAAGCATAAAGCAGACATCCAAACTATCACGAGGTCAAAAAGGACAAATGTATCCGTTCCGTTCACGGGAACTCCCGCAATAGCAACAATGCCGACGCAGAGCGTCAGCAGGAATATGTTGCTCCCTGCTGTGGTCGCAACCACAATGCCCCCTTGCCCGCGAAAGCCGCTTAGCACAGAAAGTAGCTTCTCAGGAAGGGTTGTAGCAAAGGCAATCACAGTGAGTCCAAAGACAGTCCCCGACAGCTTGAAGGAGTCCGCGATGGTGCCGGCGCTATGAGCTATAATATACCCGGATAAAGAAAGCGCACATAGGCCAACAAGCAGTTGGAAGACGTGCTGATAAAGTGGCCGTAAAAGCCTTTCGTTCTCACCCTCCTGTCTTAAATTCGCATCCCCCCAAGAGAGGTGAACTCTCTGGAGCTGACGTCCAGCTGCCCGAGGCTGTTGGTCGTTCCTCATCAGTAGTGAATACTTCAACCTCGCTGTCACTGTCTGACATCTGAGGAGGGTCAGTAATACCCTTATAGATGGCATAACCAATAGAGATAATATAGAGGGCGAAAACAGCGACGAGTATCCCACCCGTAACTTTATTCAGTAGGTTAAAAAAGGCCAGGACGACGAACAGGGTGGTGACTGAAAGCAGAATCCCAGTATACATCTTTGCGCTACTATCGAATTCCATGTTACCAGGATGACATAGAAGACCCAGCGAGAATGCGCCGAGGATGCTCGCAATCGCAGATCCCATTAGGTTGCCAAGGGCTAGGGAGCTGCGGTGTTGCAGGATTGCTGCAATAACTACAGCCAGCTTACAGAATGTTATCAGTATGACTACAAAAGAGTATGGGGAATGGGCATGGTGCAGTACCTCTTCATACTCAGCTCCAGCTGTCAGAAGAGCAACTAGGGTCGGCGATATGCCAAGCCGCCGTCCGACGATAACAGTGTGGTCGAGGAATGTATCTGCTCCATAGTCAAGCACGAATACCCCAGCAATCAGCGTTGCTATGTTGAAACAGAGAATATCCAAATCCATGAAGTGGGAACATATATTTTTAGGGCCGTAGACTGCTTGACGGAGACAAGAGCCTGGAGTGTTACTGTTGTTGTCTGACGGGGAAAAATCATCGGATTTAATTGGTCACATGATCATTTATCCAGCTCACTGTATTCGTTCTGTCCTTGTGAAGATCCATATTTTACGCTTACTATAGTTGTAAGGAGATTCTAAATCTACAGTGAGCTATATTTATTATAAGGCTCGAAAAGTATTGCATCATCAACTCGTACCGATTTGAAAAGTCCTGTACATATATTTCATGTTGGCTGGGGATTCCAGCTGGCGGTCCTGATTGGACCGGGCCATTAGGATGATCCGACCGGTAAGCGTTTAGGTATTGATAAGATAGCTATAGCATCAAGAAAATAATGATGATTCTAGTAGGAATGAGCTCCATATAAAGCTCCAAGATTTCATATACTATAGTTTATCAGTTATAGCGAGCAATGGGATGAATAAGAGGCTTGCTATATTGCCAGTGCATCTGAAGCAAGGTATCCTCAAAGATGAAAATCTAATACGCTTTCATGCTTGTTGAACGCGGACAAAAGAATTTCCCCCTGTTCTCATACCACCGCAGGCTATGTTGGGCCCGGGTTGTGTCCAAACCCTAACCCAGTGTTGAGTACGACTATACGAATCACTATTCCCGTCACACATAGCCTTGTAGAATGCTTCCGGAGAGTCTTGCACATACCGGTGCAGGTTAGGTGATCAAATAAAGAAGAACAGATGCTATTAAATAAGCCAACAACTGCATCCCCATCCATCCTCGATTAAGAAATTGGGCCATATTCGACTACATCTCAGTCCAAGCCGTAGTCGCACCAATTGTCTCCCCGGACCTTGGCAATAAGAAGTCACTAGGGTTAATTTTTCCGTTGGTCTTGCGTGCCCCTTGTACCAAGCTCGCATCGACTGAGATAAAGCTACTGTTACCCCAAGTTGTGCTGCTATCCCACGAGTTCTCTTTCGACACCTGATCTTTGCTCAGAGCCGTGGGCTGCTCTCCATTCTCAGCCGCGATGTTCTGAGTCAAGGTAGCCACAGCCGTGTTGAACTTGAAGCCAACTTTGGCATTGTTCCAGGCCGTGTTACGGGTGAGGGTAAAATCGCCGGTTTGTGAGTTATCGGTGAAGCCATCCTTAGAGTTTCCAAACGCGATGCAGTTAGTTATAACGTGGTTGGCGGGACCAATGTCGGCATCATTGCCACCACCGAGTTTGTAACCATTGCCATCGCCTTCGAATGGCGAGAAGCCCCATCTAAGATAATTAGCTAGGTCTTCTTCTTGGAAAGCGGGATGAAAACTACCTGTTGTATCCGTTTCCGAAGGAGATGGTATCTTCGATTGTTATGCCTGACTTGAATTCCCTACAAAGATTAGCAATGAGCTTAGTAGATAAGAAAAGAGATGGAAGTACCATAGGTCCAATCCGTCATCAACGTTGTTCCACAATCTCGCACCACGCAGCACGTTGCCCTCCCCAGAGCCTTCCTTGCAAGCAAACCCGTCCGCACTTTCGCCGTTCTTACGAGGGTCACGGTTCCCGTAGGAGTCGAGATAGAAGACAGAGTTGTTAGACGATGCACCTTCAAGTTGGAAACCTACGCCATACGTTAACAATGTAGGCCGTTTCTCTACACAAACAACGCTTACCAGTTTCATAGTTATCCCTCGTGATGATACGCTCATAGTGGTTGTTCGATGAATCACGCGCGTAGACACCATACGGCCCATTAATCAATTCAAGATCGTAAAACTCCCAGTATTCGGCATCCTGAATATGCAGGATTCCACGGTCCTTGTTCGCGAGGGAACCGTTGAGCTCAGCTGGCGTTCTATGGATGTTAGTTGTAGCAACAGAGCGGGATTTAGAAGGCATACCCTGGGAGCTCCTCCCCATCAATCGTAACTTTCTCGCCGTTATAAGCCCGAAGAACGTAGGGAGCCGATGTCGTGCCACTTTTTGTGATTTGGATATTCGTCGTCGGTGAATAGGTTCCTTCACGAAGATAAACAGTAGAGCCGGCTGTTGCTTTATCTACTGCCGATTGGATTGATCGAAGGGGTGCCTCTAGTGTACCCGCAGCGGTATCCGACCCAGTCGGGGAGACATAGATATCCGTCGCAAGGCACAGGGGTACGACAATAGTAATCGCGTATGCAATAGGGTATTTCATTTTTCCCTTCCGTTGATTAGCTCTGTAGCACACAGAAGAGCGAGGAAAGTCCCTGGCATATAAACACCCGCCAAGACCATCCTTATTGCTGGAAAATATGTATGGCGCGGAGATTACATATTTAGCCAAGCATGTCGATCAATTCCTTTCCGTCCGGTCATATTCACTAGTGTTTCACGGTGAGGACATATCTGCTCGACGGTATGTCACTAGTAGTACCTGCAAGATGAATATAAATTGCGCCAATCGGTTAGCCACACAGAGAAGGATCGCTTCGGTACCGGTCGGATGTAGCCGTGGAGACCCAAGAGATCGATTTCACCTCATAATTTTCTTGCTGCCGCCGATAGGCTTTGTCTTACCGGCTCGTCATTTTTTACGCGTTTGTAGTTGGAGGATCTAGAAGGGGACAGCGAGCTTGGTAGGTCGTTGTTGACCTAAGCTATAACCAGTAGCATTGATTGATGGCATTGGGGCTGAGCAATATAAATGCATCATCCCATGACCGTTTCAGCCGAGGTCTGATTCATACCATTGCGATGGCGTGATTCATTATCTTTATATCTAAGGAGGGTTATATTACAATAAGGCTCTATACCACATAGTCAGTAACCCTTACTTATGAATCCCTTCTGTCTCGAAAGCGTCCTGATTCGAAGCTTGATGTAAGTGTAGGCATAGGTTTTCATTGGGCTTGCCTATGTGCATATGCTTTGTATCACATAGAACATGTTGGGCTCTTCGAACTCATGTGCGGCATTTGAGAGTTGTGCGAGGGCCATATATTACGTTTGAATCGACATTGTGTATACAGTAAGTATGGATCATGAGCGCTCAGGCATAAAACACCACGTCGCCTTCTGAAGCCTGATGCCCACAGAGCGGGAGTAGGTCTGGGCTAGCGGAGGTACTATATCTAGCGACGATATCGATTGGGAAGCTTCCTCCACCGTTCATGCTACCTTCGATCCATGTATACTGAGATATGTCGCTTGTCCTTTCATCAAGATCGGTGGTTTTGGCCAAACGCATGGAATGCTTTGATTACCTATTTTATTGACAGCGCTAGGGCCGCTATGGCTTTATAAGCCTAGCGTGGTTAGTAATATTACCGCGTATGAAAAGATACCAAGCCCGACACGGTATAGCGCCGAATTCTCCCTCGTACCCTCGTAATGTAATCTGTAGTCCAGTCCTTTTATACATCTCCACCTCCTAAAGCAGACTGGAATAATAGCTTCGCATGTTCACCCACAATCACGAATCCCTGAATACCAAGCACTTGTCAAGGGTGAAAACTCTTATGAAATGAATGCCATCCTTAATAGCTCTTATATTCCTTTCTCAGCAATTCATGTGTATTGTTCCCGCGTTAATATATATTGTTACATATTTTGCATGCCTGACTCTTTCAACTCAAACATTTGTTGATTCCTTCCATATGAGTGATTAGACATACCCAACCCTGTACTGTTTACACAGGCATCCGCTCCTGCATTCTGATAGGTATCAGGTAATTCTACTAGCTTGTGAGGTTGCATGAACTTCTCAAAGGTGACGGGCTTCACGTCGGGATACCTGGCATTGTCCAGGTCAATTTTCAAATATGTCTGTCCGTTGATACAATAATACTGGTAGAACCTGAAAATGGCAGTTAGTAATCCGCTTACTCTCTCGACATGGGTGAATCTTACAATGCAAGATATGCAAAGATGTTAGATGGGACTTTTTGGAAGGCCGCCTGGATGGTGTTGTACAGGTCATCTTGCGAGCCGAGACTATTAAGCACAGGCTGTCTTCCGTGAACCTCAGCAAATTCGTTCGCGATTTGGTGAATGCTTTTCCGGTCTCCAAGGACTATGTCACGTTGGAATCAAAAGTTGTCAGCCATTTTTCAGACAATTGGCCTCACAAAACATGGGAATACAGACAGTGAAGCATTCCAACAGCAGTACGATCAGCAGCAATCGCATACTCTGCCGCGGTGGCATATGTGGTGGACTCCCAAACCTCGACCCCGGTTCCGTAGAAAGATAATTTGCACTCCTTAGGGTCGAAAACACTAAAATATCCACTCCACAAGGTTTCCATAAATGCTCCGACCAGACTGGACACCCCTAACGTTTTGCTTTGTTTCTAAGTGTGCTTTTACATGCTTCATGGGATCTTTGGCGGGGTGCTGGCCATATTCGAGCTTCGTAAAATCAATGCAATAATCGCTGTCGATGTAACGGGGAGCATTCTCCTCGTCGCATGCCTCAACAAGGAGCTTTTGCCCCTCTGTCATGAGTGTGGTTTCCCCTAAATAGCAACAAATAACTACATCGCAACGTTTCGCAAAGTGACGCAATGCACTGGAGTCACCGGCACCTCTTGCAACGATGGTCACACAGGTTGATAAACGGATGTGCTCAGGCAGCTTTTTGGGATTGCGACAGAAGCCCCAGATGTTAACCTCCGGTTGTTCGAGGAGGTTCTTCAACACAAGACGGGCGAATTTACTAGTTATACCAGCAATACCGACGGTGACGGCCATTTTGGAAATATAGTTAAATAAATCGTATCCAGAGGATGAAGAGTATTGATAGCGAAGAAAGACTTGGATTTGACATTTACCAATGAATCCAGTGGATGAGTGCCGGCAATCAGGCGCCTTTTCCTCGTGCCGGTTTTGGTGGTGTGGAAATCCACGGGGCAAATGGCTATCTTGTGGATCAGTTCATCCAAAACGTTTCCGACAAGCGAAGTGATGCCTGGGGTGGCAGCATTGTAAAGCGATCGAGGTTTGCGGTCGAAGTTACCCGAGCTGTTGTCGATGCGGTTGGAAACGACCGTACAGCGTATGTCAAACCCTATTCCTCAGTTCTCTGACCTTGCCGCACGACTAGCACGCTTCAAGCTGGCCTATCTCTATATCTGTGAATCTGATACCAAGGATCCACAAGAGAGTGTTAAATTCATGCTTGATGCTTATGGTAACACCGGTCCGGCTGGTTTTGGCAGGAAACTATAACGGCAAATCAGCAAGGGACGCGGGGGGCACCAAGTACAAGGATAAGGTGTGGTGGTTGCTTTTGGGCGGCCATACATATCGAATCCCGACCTGGCCTTCAGGGTCCAGCAGGGAATTCCATTCGCGTTGTTTGATCCCGCCAGCATGTACGCGCAACATCAGAGGGGTATACTGACTATAAGTTCGGCGAAGAGTTCCTCGCTAGCCATAGCCATCTGTAAGATTTCCAGAAATGGAATGATTATGTCTCGCCTTCACTTTGTACCCAGTTTGCTGCTCTCTTCGCTTTCTCTATCGTGTAGATCCCATTCTCTCAACATGTATATAGATACCTTGTAGATAAATCTCCATGATCCTTGGAAAATATCGGTGAGTATCTTTGGAAATGACATTGAGGTCCCACTCGAGAATATGCTGCTCAGGAAGCTTACGCGCTATCCACAGATAAAATATTGAGCCTACACCTTCTTTCCGAGGCCGTCATGTATGCGCCAGTACATTATCACTTGTAATATTACAATACATGTATCGAACTGCTATAGTGAATATTACATTCAATGCCTTCGTGCGGGAGTACTGTCAGGCAATTAAATTGACCGCCCCTTGACACCGCCATGGTTCGTCATTCTTCCTATCTATACCTTCGAAGTCAAGTTTAGTCAAATACAACCAGTTCTTGATATGACTCTATATGAGACCACGTGATTCTAGTGGCTTGGCCGGTCACCGAACTCCATTTCCTGAAGGCTTGACCCATTAGTAGTTGACAAGAAAGCGGTTGAGATAGTGGATAGGGTCGTCCATAGAATTGAGCATCTATCGAAATGGCATCCGATCCTCAGTAGGCTACGTACGTGTAGCTGATACAGCCTCATTCTGCCTATCTTTCCCCTAAAATCACAACAGTTCTCTTTAGGAATCGTCGCTTTTACAAAGGAAGGCGATACGAGCAGCATAGAGCCTTGTTTTGTAGTGATCCCAGTGTCCGGGTACTTAATCAGATATTCCGATTTGCCTGTCCCTGCTCTAGTCTCTAGAACGTGGAACGTCTAACCATAAATATCTAGATACAGGTGCTTTACATATATCAAGAGATCTGTTGATAGAAAGAATGATATAAATAACCTCTTCATGCCATGTTTTTATTAACTACAACTAGTAACCGGCATGGTCTATGGTCAGTGTTTACCTTTTTCACTATAGAGGTGTGAGTTGTCAAAATCCATAATCCTCCAGCCTCAATTATCCTTGTTGTATTTCACGAAAATGATTGGGCAAAATAGCAGGCCCCAGCGCCGTCGTGAGAATCCTGGTGTCAGCCTCGCTTCTCAACTCTTCCTCACCCGAGCAACTTCAGCATTGCTTTCTTAAACTTGGCTTCGGTAACATCTTTCGTGTGTTACATATTTCCCTAGATTATAGACCTGGCTATTCCAACGCAAGGATTTGATCAATACATGGTCTATAATAGCAGCTATGGCCCCCCTCTCCCATGCCGATTACACGGTCGGATGGATCTGCGCCTTACCGCTGGAGATGGCAGCTGCGAGAGCCATGCTCGATGAGATCCACGACGACTTACCGGTACAACCGAATGACCATAACGCATACATCCTCGGACGCATTAAGAAACACAATGTTGTTATTGCATGCCTGCCAAATGGTGAATATGGCATTGCGTCTGCCACTACTGTAGCAATACAGTTATTATCCAGTTTCCACTCTATCCGCTTCGGTCTGATGGTCGGAGTTGGGGGAGCGGTGCCGAATAGAGATGCGGATATACGCCTTGGAGATGTTGTGGTCAGCAAACCAACAGATACACACGGGGGAGTGGTGCAGTATGATTACGGCAAAGCATTAAGTGGTGGTGATTTTCAGCGGACAGGCATGCTCAACCGTCCGCCTCAGATTCTCCTTACTGCTCTCTCGAAACTGCACGCGAACCACCTTACAGAAGAGAGCCAAATTCCGGATTTTCTTGCGGACATTAAACGCAATTTACCCAAACGAGCTGCCAACTTTGCTCGTCCAACTCAGTTAGACGATTTGTATCTGAGTGACTATAATCATGCCAATCCCCAATCCAGGACCTGTGATGGCTGTGATATAGCTAAAACTATCCCACGACTTTCTCGAAACTGCAATGAGCCTGTTATTCACTATGGTCTGATTGCTTCCGCGAACCAAGTCGTGAAGGATAGCCAACTACGAGATAAGCTAGGTCGTGAATTTGGTGTATATTGTGTGGAGATGGAAGCAGCAGGATTGATGAACAATTATCCATGTATAGTGGTGCGTGGAATTTGCGATTACGCGGACTCCCATAAGAACAAAGATTGGCAGGGATACGCTGCGGCTGTGGCAGCAGCGTATGCCAAAGAGCTTCTTTCAGTGATCTCGGTTAACCACATCGAACAAACACGGACTGTACAGGATAGTCTGTCTGACTCTGGTATATAATTTCAAACTTACGCCCTTTTCGTTATCCGGAATATAACAGTCTGTGTATTGACAAATTTCTACTCTTCTAGAGTGTCGGTTTCGCGTTCCATTTGACCTTACTGCAGTGCCTGTAATTGAGAATTTCTTGGGACGACAAGACGAACTACAGCGCCTATGGCACTATTTACGGCCAGTAAATCCCCAGTTGCGAAAGGTAGCCATTCTCCACGGGCCCGGTGGAATGGGAAAGACACAGCTAGCCGTACGCTTCGCTCGAGATCACAAGAATGATTTTACTACTATTTTTTGGCTGAGTGGCAAAGATCGGGGCACTCTATTGCGATCTTTAAGCTCCGTTTTCTCCCGATTACCAGGACAGTCCCATAAAACTGAAGTGATTAATGAAGAGGAAGTGGAGCAAAGAGCTAGGCATGTGTTGCAATGGCTAGCATTAGAAGGAAACTCACGCTGGCTAATTATTTTTGATAATATTGATCAATACTCTCTCAATTGCAGCAATGTTTGCGATGGATATGACATCAGTGAATTCTTCCCCACAGCAGACCATGGTTCCATTCTCATTACCTCTCGACTACGGAGGTTAACTGATCTTGGAAAGTCCTTCCCAGTCCAGAGACTCGAGTCTAAATATTCGATTCAGTTACTTTTACAGAGCAGTGGAATGTCTATCGGTAATAATATAAAGAACGTTGAGAGTGATCCAGGTACGTTGTCAGTATACATATGGATTTGAAGTGATACTAATATGCATAGATACTCTCGCCCTTACCGGTCGTCTAGATGGGCTACCACTGGCAATTGTCATCGCAGGGGCATTTATTCATGAAACGGGAACCAGCATCACAGATTACCTGAGGTATTATGAAGAGTCTTGGTACGACCTACAGTCGCAATCGAGCCCTGGACGTCAGTACCAACAGGGTAACCTGCTCCAAACATGGATGATCTCATATCGTAAGATCCAGAAGCAAAACCCGGATGCAGCCGAGCTGCTACTGCTGCTTGCTCATTTCGATAGCCGAGATATCTGGTATGAGTTAGTAAAAAGCGCTTCTCATAGCTCAAATACCCCAGCCTGGTTTGACAGCATTACGCCCACCGGGCTCACCTTTAAGAATTGTATGAAAATTCTTATTGGATTCTCCCTCATTGAGACTAAGCCGCAAGAGGGAAGCTTCACAATGCATCCAGTTATACAAGACTGGTGTCTTTACATTGCTAGCTCAAGAAGAAATGCGAATCTAGTTCAATTGAGCGAACTGGCTCTGATATCTGTTGGATATGCAGTTCCTGGAATAGATGAAAGAAATTATGCAGAGATTCAGCGGCGGCTTATTCCACATGCGAATTATGTGCGTCATGGAGATGTCTCAAGGGACAATGCTGCGGCATGGGGAGCATTCCATGGCCTTGGTAATCTCTACTCTAACCAAGGCAAGCTGAAGGAGGCAGAGCAAATGTACCAGCGAGCACTGGCAGGCAGTGAAAAAGCACTGGGTCCAGACCATATATCCACTCTTGAGATAGTCAATAACCTTGGTGTTCTCTACAAAGATCAAGGCAAGCTGAAGAAGGCAGAGCAGATGTTCCAGCGAGTACTGGTAGACAATGAAAAAGCACTAGGCCCAGACCACATATTTACTCTTGGCACAGTTAATAACCTTGGTATTATCTACTCTGACCAAGGTAAGCTGAAGAAGGCAGAGCAGGTGTACCAGCAAGCACTGGCAGGCCGTGAAAAGGCACTGGGTCCAGACCATATATCCACTCTCTTTACAGTCAACAACCTTGGTCTTCTCTACAGAGACCAAGGCAAGCTGAAGGAGGCAGAACAGATGTACCAGCGAGCACTAGCAGGCTTTGAAGAAGCACTGGGTCCAGACCATACATCCACCCTTTTTACAGTTAACAATCTTGGTCTTCTCTACTCTGACCAAGGCAAGCTGAAGGAGGCAGAGCGGATGTACCAGC